CACTTTTTATACAGCGAATCGTATAAAAGTAATGGTATCGTCAAATTTATGTCACTTGAACCAAACTATATCAGTGTAGATTACAAAAAATAAATACTATATAATAAACAAAGCTGGAAGCTCCAAAAATAGCGGAAGCGCTTTAACCTTGTAAAATAGTGTACTAGTATGGAAAAAATATTTTGTATGTGTCCACATTTAGTAGAATTTGTTAGTTAGGCACAATTTATATGACTTCTCTTATAAGATTTGATAAGGCAATTTGTACTGTGTCATTGTATCAGTCAAATTTCAATTAATCTAGCCTTTATAGCGTTTAGAATTATATCATGGATTTCCTTACAAACAAATTCAATTCAAAAAGAAAAAAATATGTATAGCTGTAGTCAAATTACACTATACATAGGTCAACTGCAAAGGTGACATACCAAATTTTTTAAAACGTAATACAAATCAAGTAGAAGGAAGTAAATCATTCGCTTCATACAACGCCTTATATGCAATATGCTTTATAAACTTTAACATAAAATTAAATAAATTTCCTTGAGCACAGGCTTCTTAAACATAAAATATAAAAAACTAACAAATTAACAGATTCGATCATGTGTAACAAAAGAAATATTCATTTACGTAAGCAAAAACCTCAATATCCTTTTTCCGTATTTTATTTTTTCCTCGTACACAATTGAGCACGTTCGCTGTACTTTGCGTATTCCAGTTTTTTACTTTTGCTGCCCCTAAACAGAAAGTATAGTATATACTCGTATATAAAATTTTGTACAGCTTTGCCTTGTGCCAAGAACGCCGTATGACATGCTCAGATACATATGCGCTGTCCTCGGACAGCACATATGCAAGGAGCAACATATAGAATGTCATTAATTCCAACAGATGTTTGCGTTATATACGCATCGCACCTTTGACGCTACTAAACTCCAGCAGATGTGAAGCCTGAATTTCTGTATGAACCTCTTAGGTACGCGCGCATGCGCACAAATAATAAAATTAAATTATTTGCTCAATTATAAAAATTTGAACAAAATTTATCTCGATATAATAAATCTGCTTCATTTTAGGGTTTACAAAGATTCATTTATTATTTTTGTGAATAATTTATTTTTGTGCAATTTATATGATTCAAATATCAAATGAAGTTGGATTAATCTGAGGATTTATAATCCTCAGCATATTAATATGTAAATGATCAGATTTCGTTTCAATTTCTATTCGAAAAAGGGGTATTTTATATATTTAGCTATACAGGGAACTTTCAGAAATCCATGGTAAATGCATTTGTAAATTTTTTATTTTTTATTTCATTATCTGGAAACATAGTTAAGAACTTGATAACATAAAACAATATTATTGTACATAATATAGCCAAGTCGGGCACTGTAGTTTTATATGTTAAAGAAAACATAGGTCTTGACTTAGCAAAAAGATAAATTTCAAATGCTAAAAAAAAAATTTTAAAATTAAAAAGTCACCATGGCTAAATAACTAACAAGATCAATTCATGGCATAGATTTGTAACCACCAAGGTAGATATGGGTTCATGTGGGTGACGGCACTCCAATTGAAGGTCTGGACGCCATATAAATAAAACAATTGACTAAAAAAAATATTTTGAAATTAATAATTCACCATGGGTAAAAGAATAACAAGATGAATTTATAATATCATGTCTACCAGAAATATTGGTACTCAAATACGATAGCAATTTCGAATACGTTTTAAAAAAATGGAAAGTATTGTATAGGAGCATCGCTGTATAAAGATTTACAAAATCAGAAGCACTTTCAACATTGTATGTAAGACTTTTAGATTAGCAAACATATATGTATATATACATATACATATATATGTATAAGCAAACATATATCGGTATTAAAAAGATAAAAAAAAGAGCTAATTGTAGATTATATTATTATGATATAGCTAGCTAAAGGCCTTTCGTAGACCTGTTGATCTAAGCGATATCCTATGCGATATAGTCCATGGGCGTAACTAAGTGGGGAATTTTAACGTGTTGTATAATTTAAGCAAAAAACTGAAGAATTTGCATTGAATTATTCGTTTAAAAGGACACTGGCAGCTTAAGCTGAAGCTAATAGGGTAACTAAAGAACTCAAGGTTTTTATCATATCAACATACTAACGTTACCCACTCACTAAATTCACATCTGGTTGCACCCATTAGAAGACCGTAACATAAGTTTATGCGAGACATTATGTGGGATATCAATACTATTAGTAAATCTAAAGAATGCGTTAAGTTCCATTCCTAAAACATATTCTTGCTTTCCATGTTTGTGGAGATCCCAGGACATAAAACATAAAAAGGACATAAAAATTAAAATTATTTCGAAGTTTTCTTTCTACATTTCGGATATTTATCATTATTTGTAATGACCACATTTGTAGAATTAATAAGTGTAATTAAACCATAATAAAAGATCATTTGCAGTTAACTAGTACTAGTTCAAATTTTAAATTTATGAATATTAGGTGTGATTAAATTCAATCATGAGAACATATACTGCCATTAAATACCAAAAAAATTGAACAACAACGCTCTATATAATTTATATTTGTTTTTGTTACGTTCCTTGTTAGGTTAAAAGTAAACCACGTTGAAATTTAAATAAAAAATTTTTCAGTAATTTTACTTCTGCAATAGAACAGTAACTTATCAAACAGCCTTCGTATATGTTAAATTCCTGAGCATTGTAAAATCTATCTTATATTTCATTAAATCAAAATATATTTCATAAATATTTAAATTATATTTATTTACTTTTAAATATTGGAAAAACCAATAAACTGAAGTAACAGAAAAATATATTAAAAAATGTTCTAATGTCTCTTCTAATGTGTCACCCATGCCTAAAAGCTTAACTCAAATAAAACACAAAAGAAAAATGCTAAAGAATAACATTATTGTTTATTTGTTTATAATAAAACAAATGTATAATATCTGTCTACTTGATATTACAGATGGCAATTAAATGTTAGGACCATTAAAAGTATATACTATACTATGATAGATTGTCATTGAAATTGATTTAATTTATTTAATGTAATATTTTAAGGCTTGATCAATAATCAAAACCATTGAAAAATATTTTATAAAAGAATATCAAATCTATCAAGTCAAGTTTTATATTTATATATATCAAGTCAGTTTTATCAAATCTAATTTATAAATACTATGTTTAATGTTTAAATTTTTATTACTATGTGAAGACAATTTATTAAGTAAAATAATAATCCCTATGAGGTAAATAGAACATATTTAAAATAAAGTAAATCTACCATAAATTTCACATAGCTGACGTTTATCAATAGGTTTAGTGCGCTTAGAAGATTATCTCCAGAGATACCACCATAGATCTCATACATAGCGGTATACCATTATCTCTTCTAATAATAACCATAAGTCTTGATATACAAGTTTAACACTGTGACCATTACTATAACAAGAATTTAGTTATTACTTAAATGTTCTATTTTGATGACTATATATGACTATATATAAACATGACTATATATAAATATTTCTGGCAGCTCGCAACTAGAAAAAGAAATTTGACTTTTTGAATATACAAAGGGATGGTATTAATAAAATAAATTTTTAATAAAAAATAATATTCTCATATACTTCCATTTTTATATATGACAAATTTTTATATGCAAAAGTTCACAACTAATCGTATCTGTCAGATCACTTCCTGGCATGCAAAACAATTTTTCCATAAAAGACGAAAGCTCTCTATCATTTAAAGACAGCCTATAATTTAGTATGTCATTATTGTCAACAGTTGTTAACGTTATTTATTATTGACAATATATATGTTAACAACTCTTTGTTGATATGAATAATATATGAAGCAACTTATCTGTATTAAAGTTATCAAAAATAATAGAATATTAAATTATTTAGATAATATCCTAACTGCAAAAGTTGTCATGTCTAGGTAATACATGACTTCCCTAGGTACATAAGGATATAATATGTATATTTTTTGAAAATTTCTTTACTCATATTTTCGTAATATTATTTATGTTAAATAGTGGCTCATTTTGTAATTGAAAATGTTTAAAATTATCCTTATTATAATATAATACTATATAATATATATAATATAATAATGTATAATATATATAATATAATAATATATAATATATATAATATAATAATGTATATAATATTATAAAATAATATTATAATAAAAACTACTCTGATTCTGGTTTTTTTTCACTCTGAAATGAAATTCAGAAAACAAATAATTTATAACAAAACTAATTCAAAAAAATGTTCATTTTCTATTGATTTACTTATAGATAAATTTCCAAAATAATTTTATCTATTAACTGGCTTATAAAACATTTGATCAAATATATTCAACGGCGTATATCAATAGGTCTTCAGAGAGCAGAGAAACCATTTCTTTAGTCACCTAATAAAATTCTTATAATTTTTTTTTATTACTCCTTTTTACAAATATCTAGATTTCATTTTACTTTAAAAGAATTTTAGTTTAATTCTGAAAGCTGACTATAGACTATAGCCGAAATATTGGTGACAATAAAATACATATTTTAGAACTAATTTAAAAAGTTTCGTTATTTAAAACAACGGACCAATTAACTTGTTTAAAAATTAGTAATTAAAAATAATTAGGTAATACATAATTTATATAGTTATAGTAATTTATAGTTAATCCACATGATTGATTTTGTTGAAATTAATATACTTTATACATACTTAAGTCTAAACTCTTTCACATATCTGCTTGATTATAAACCTATTTTGAGAGATTCATTTAAAGCGAATAATAAATAAATTAAAGTGCACAATAAATATTTGCTTAAACCTTTATGAAAAATATTATAAAAAAATAATATTTGCATATAAAAAAATTGCAAACAAACTACAAACAAAATACGTCAACATAAATAGCAAGATCGAAAAAAGTATGGAAACTACTTCAGGCTTACCTGTGTGACAGGATCCTTCATAATTAGCACATCTGTTACGGTCCCGAACATATTAAAGTATTCTTTGAGTTTCTCAGAGGACGTTTGCCAGCTGAGGCCGCCAACAAATAATTTGCCAGGTGCAGGATCTAAAGCTGAGCCATTAACGCAGTTACTGGGCGTTGAACGGCCTGAAGATGATGATTTTGGACCTGTATTACCGGTACCATTAACATTTGAATTATTGGCAGCATTTCCAGTATTACCATTTAATAGAGCAATAGCTGCTTGTTGTGGCGAGGCACCAGTATTGGGATTGCTTATGCTCTGTTGCTGTGCCGTCTGTTGTTGCGCTGCACTGTTACCAACAGTATTCTGTTGTTGCTGTGATTGACTTTTAAGCACTGCAGCCGTTGTTAATGTGCCATTTACTGCTGCAACATTATTGTTTATAGAGGCCACTAAAGCATTATGCAAATCCCTATTATGAGGATCCATTAAACCAGCGGCAGCTGCAGCAGCGGCAGCAGCAGCGTTATCAATAGGATTGCTGTGTGGATAAAAGAAAGAGGTTTCTTCTTTAACTCGCGGTACAATAGTTGGTGGTAAAGTGGGATGATGTTGCAACATAGTTGCACCTTCTTTAAGGGCATGCATTTCTTGTTTTAACTGAATTTTGAAAGCTCGTAATATAACTTTTATTAAAAATAAATTTAAATATTTTTTGTACAAAAATTTTATTAATTTTTAAATTTTATTAGCACTTTGCAACGCCTAAACGAAATATTTAATATTTAATTATATTTTTTAATATAAATATTAATTATGTTTTATTCAGTTAAATTAATTTATTAGTTATTTATGCACGTTTATATATTTATATATTTCTTTTAATATTTATTTTATAAACAACCATAAAAACTTTTAAAACGTCTTTTGCTATTTTTCCTAATAATTTTGCACTGCTTAAGAGAATTATTTCACTTGATGAGAACGAGTGATTCGTTTTTCTTGGAATTCAAAATAACAACTTTTTGGTTGCCCTTGACAACGGAACGTTTTATTTTTATTGCTGTTATTTTCTGCGTAATTTTTACCGTTACCGATATTCACACAAGGTTAAATAAAAAAAATATGTTTTAAATAACTTGTTTTTGGTAACAAAGCAACGTTATTCCTTCTAAATTTTTTTCGTTCAATTAAGTTATTTATCCTTTTATTAGGAAACAAAACCTATTTTAATGTTTACTTGTGTTTTTTTAAAAAAAAAAAATTTAACTTTTATCACTTCGGCAATAATTCCAAAAACCACAAAAAAAGATAGAAACCGTGCTCCTGCCGTTAGCGCCGATCAACGAATAAACATGCGCAAAGGAATTTTTTAAACCACAGCACTTGAGCCTGCTCAAATATACTTGATGGCAAAAGCGTAAAACAGGGCTGTTATTATTTTTTTAAATTTGTACCATTTGCGTGCAATTTGTGTAATTGTTCATTCCTACATAAAGGTGTAGCGTGTAATATGAAATTTGGATGGTAATTCAATGAATTTGTGTATTCAATTTGAACAAAATTTTCCCAATTTTTTGTTGTATTACTCAATTAAATTCAGAGAGTTCAAATGTGTGAATAACGATAATTTTATATATTATAAACAGAGAACATTACAAATTTATAGTTGATTTCTAATTAATGTATGATGAATCATTTTTTGAAGACGATTTATGCATAAAGTTGAAGTATTGAACTTAATGAAAATTAGTGTAAAATAATTCAAGTTGTTTAATTTTAATTTTTAGTAAAAGCATAACAAAATTAATCAATTAGCCAATTTTAAAATAATATCATCGATTGTGTTCATTAAAACATTAATTTTATAATTTATTCATTATATTAATCGCATAAAATTTTATAAATTTATTTAATGTAAAATGTAATAAAAATTACTTCATTACTTTTATATTCATAAGTATTAATAATTTGTTCATGAATTTCAATGCATTATTTTATTTTAATAATTAAACTGTTTTACACCCTTTTATGCACACGTGTATAAAGAATTTTAATATAAATTTCTAAACAATGTTTTAATTTTTTAAATTAAAGTGCTTTAAACCCTACTTTGGTTTTTTGTCATATAATCAAAAACACATTTACAAAAAAAAGACACTCCGTTATAGTTTCTTTGTTGTTGTAGTTTGCATCAATCATTACAGTTTGTTTGACTTCTTTATGAAAAAAAAAATAAAATTTTTTACCCCAAAAATAATTGCTCCATAAATGCAGCAACAAATCATACTAAAAGAGAATAAAGCACTCAATAGAAAACAACAACAAAAACTTATTAAAAGCATGTGGTAAACCTGACTTTGTTTTGTTCATGATTTCTTAACTACAGTCGCCAATCCAAGTAATGAGAATGTTGCCTTGAAAAAATTATGTCAAAAATTTGTTGAAGAAAACACTAACAAAATTTTTTATACAAAATGTTTTGATATAAAAAGTTTGTTTATAGTGTACGAAATTTATGTTTGTTTAAAATAAACCAAAAGAAAAAATATAATTGATAATTTGTTGGAAGAAAATTATTCTCTGTTTTTGGTAGAAGAAAGGAAAACGGTTTTGTTGTTGCCACTTTAACAAATCCACTAAACATGTATTCCATTATAAATATTTAGGAATATGTACACTCAGCCGATAAAGTCTGCGTACAAAACTTAAAAAATTTCAAAATAAATAATGTATTAATAAACAATTATATAGTCCTAAAGTATCTTTATAAAATTTCATTGTCAACTACTATCATTAGCGGATATATTTGTACCATGATTAATTATTCACAATCATTCATTCTATAATTTTTATTATTTTATATATTTTATGTATATATAATTATATAGCCCCATAGTTTGTTTATCAAATATTTTCACTATACTATATGTTTGTCGATATATTATAGCTTGATTCGCGAGATATTGGGGTTTAAAGAAACAAATTTTTACATTGACTACATAAACAAAAAGTAGTCACTGCATTTAATAGTAGTTGTAAGTAGGGGTTGGAATTTTAGTCATGTAAAAATTTGCAACATTAAGTTCCGATACTGTAAGAATTAGGCTATATCGATATATACCGTAACTAAAAAAATTGCTCGAAATAGTGAAATCTGTTAAAATTGTCAATGTCAACTGGAAATTGTGTTCGTACAATACATAACCTGCTGCCTTATATTAAGAACCTATGTGTTTATTTTGGTTCCTCATATCTTAGTTCCTCCTTTTCTTCATTTATTTGTGCTATGTTACTAATTTATTAAAGATTAGAACATTTGGCATAGTCAAAAAGGGCTAATGTTTAAGTACGAATACACACAGATTTGTTCTCAATATTGAATATTATTACCATGTTAAAATCTAATGACAAAGATGTAATATTTATTTTGAGGCAGTCATGCAAGAATATTGAATCAAATTACACTTTATTTGTCAAGTCATATAAAACAGCTGTTAATTTCAAAGCGATCTTGCTACTCTCGCAAAATATCTAAAGTGTTATAAATTAATCTCAAGTGTTATACATTGCGATCGAGAATTACCAATCTAAGATGAAAATTGCACTAAAAGTGAATCTCGATTGAAAAACATAGGTCAGAATTGCGGTTAAAATAGTGGATTTAGGCACTTTTAAATTTTATGTCTGATAATTTATGCTGCACTGTCAATGGTATTAATCTATCATTATATATATTATATATAGAGAAATAACGCAATTGCGATTTTATGCTCGTACAATGATTATTGAAATTAATTTAAACACTATATTGTTTGTTTAATTTCCTATAAAACCGAATTTATTTATATTTTTCAGACAATTCCAATCATTTTGTTCACTACTGTTGGGTTTACGTGTGAAATGTTGTGGACTATGCGACTGGCTGTGACCAGAGATGATGTGCGGTATGTTACATTTTTTTTTATTAAATTGAATAAATTTAAAACAAATATATTTTAACATAAAATAAATCACAATTTTTTATATTAAATTTGATAAATTTATCAGCTATGGTAAGAAAATGGGTCATGAGGTCTTTGACTTAGATGGGAAACCACCTCAGAAGAAGGTAATTGGAATACTCTTAATTTGTAATCAATCAATTATATCTTTAAAAATTATTTACGGAAATTAATTAATAAATATTTCTTAACAGTTCAGAAACTACAATTGTAACTATGAGACATGGCCGCAGGGTTTGCTAGATGCTAAGGAGTATTTCAAGGACTGGGAGGAATGCGAACCATCTGGATGTCAGGAAGATAAAAGGAAGAAGAAGAAGAAGAAGAAAGATAAGAAATAGAATTAAATGATGAGTGATTAAGTGACAAAAATCAAGAATAACTAACATCAAACTATTTACACTTTAAAAAGATTCTAAAAATGGAATTTAGTACCTTCGACACAAAAAAAAAATTTATGTGATATATCACGATTTATTTTTATATTGTTCTTATATGGACACGTACAAACATTTTTACGCATATATTTGACTAATAATATTAATTTTTACACTTAAAGGGAGTACGCAATATTAAAGTGTAAAAAAAAAGTTTTTTGAGTTTAAATTAATTTGCAGTTTAAAAAAACTAGTAATGGTAGGTAATTTGTTATAACGTTGTCGACTACTTAGTAAAATTTTTATTATTTATTAAAATGGGTATATGTATTTGTTTTTTATTATTTTTTATTCATTTTGTATTTATAAAAGGTTTACACTTTTCTTTATATGAAATACAATATAATAATAAGAAACTTAAACTGCAATCACTTAAGTGTCCCTAATTCTGTTGGGTTTAGTAGATACAACAGGACAATACATTACAGGCACGCACTGTTCAATGCATACTTGATATTCTTGGAACGTGAAAACAATTACTCCAACAATCTAAAAACAAGTAAATAAACATTTTACATAATCTGGCAAAGGAATATCTTTCAAATGTGCTCCTGAGTGGAAAATTTAATTAAATTGAAAGAAGAACAATTTAATTGATTCGACAGATCACAATACGTCAACCCAACCTCAACTATCTTCAGTGTATCGACGTTTTCCTTTATTGGAAAAGATCTTTTTAAATTGAGCAACAGAGAGCTTTATAAGCAAAACTTCTCCACTGTAGTGGTCAGTCTGTTTCTACCATAAGAACTACGTTTCATTTTCAAAGCCTCACCAATCGAAGACACTTAAAGAAGCTGTCATTTAATATAAGCGGTAACAATAGGAAAGTTTGGTTTGAGAAGTGAATCTTCTTTTCACTTCAAATTCATACTTAGAAAGATTATGATTCAACTATATATATATATACAATATATCTATTGAAACGAATTTTTTACTTTTGAAATAGTTGCTAGAACTTTTAACTCCTTTCATATAGGATATTGAATAAAAAAAAATTAGTTTTTCTATTGACACTTGGTACAAAAACACAAAATAAAATTACAAAAGACCTAAACTTTATTCTTTAGTGAAAAGATTACACTCAGCCGGACTAGATTAGATAAAACGAAATCAAAAGACGTGATAAGAATCTGGAATGTCAAAAACGGCTTTTTGAAAAAGCAAACAAATCATAATATATTATTAAAGGTTATCAAAATTTACACAGTTTCAAGACCGATAGTTGTGACTTGGTAAAAATCAAAGTTATATTAATAAAATGTAGGTTTTTTTAAATACATGAGTGTTTCGTTATATTTGGGAAAAACTATTTTATTTGTACTTATTGTAAATAACTTGTCTATTACTATATGCTTAGGTTAGGTTCAAATATCGCTATCAAAAATCTGAAAATTTGTGCCCACTGACGTCTTGTGACATAGTCAAAAAACCATAACATTAGATTTTCGATATTTAAACTTAATAGAACGTGAGTTATCTATATATGTAGACTAAAATAAAGTTTAACCAAGCTAACAATAATTTGTCATCAATTTAGGTCCATTGACCCATAAATGCAACATTATAACAAAATTACTAAAATGTAAGTACAGCAGTTATGTCCAGTTTTCTTACTTAAGAGTTAGAACAATAAGGTTATTTATGAATGGCGTTAAATACAGATAAGTATTTATTTTCTCATCTATAAATAAACCTATGTAATATATTTTCATTTTCAGTTAACTTTAATCGCCTTTTATTTCAGCGGTTAATTAGAGATTGGATTCGTTCTCTTAAATTTTAACCGGAGAATCTATTGTTAGGTTAATTACACATAGATTTTCTTATTCTTATTCTTGTTAGATTATATAATCAAATAGGTATTAGCTATTTTATTTGACTAACCGACGACTTTATAGAATTGCAATAGTTTTTTAAAAATAAAATTCATAATTAAAATCCTGTATAATACATGAAATAGATATAAATTTTCTACTTACTAAAACTCCTCAAAAATTGTAACAATCCAAAAAAATCTACTGTAGCCTTTATAAGTGCAACGTCTCCAAAAAAATTATTTTAATAATTGTAATTTTTTTGCTTTGTAATGGAAAATTCATGTATATTTTTGCTGTTATAGTGCCGTTATTTTTTCTATCCTTCTTGGAAACTATTGCCGCAATTTAATATTCGATACTTTATTTTTGGGGCGTAAATAACGTTCTTATTAGTGATGTCTTTTATTAAAAAATTTACGCGAAATAACGAAAAACTCTAGCAATTCATCCAAAATAAAATCAAGTGTCGATTAAGGCACTTGATTTGCCCAGAATACGACGTCAATACATCGATAATATGCACAATTAAAAGTGACGTTTAATTCAAGAATACGTGAAAAATATTGAAGTCGGGTCTGGGAAGCGGCGAACTTTAAAACATAGCGAATACTCAAAAATGGAAAGAGTTGTGTACAAATGGTTTTGTAAACAGCGTCTGTTGACATAATGAAAGCCAAAATATGTCAGGCGCACGGCACTATTAAATAAAGAGAGGGGGGACCAACTCTTAATGGTTAGATGTCGAATTTCAAAAAACCTTACGAAATTCGGCATTTAAAAATTTGCGGATAAAAACTTTCCCGCAATTTAAAATCTGTTAATCCATTTCTTGGCAGGTTCACACAAATAATTAAGGAACAGAATCTATTTCTTGAATAAAATTTATCACGCCGATGACTCGAATTTGTTTTGATAGTTGAAATTGTTAGTGAAGACGAAGCTGAAGTTTAGGTACAAGAAATCGTTCCCCTGCAAAAAATTAAGGCAAATGTTATAGGTAAGTGCGTACGATACGTGCATTCAGTGGGTCTAGGAGAATGAAATACTCCTACATGATATTTTAATTTTAAAAAAACTTAAAGAAGAAGCAGTGCTGCAAAGTATCACTATCTTTATTATAAATAAATATGGATATATATGTATATAATAGGTGAATCAGTCCTAAATTGTAAGATATACAATTTGCGCAATAGTTATAATATAAGAATAAAAGAAATTTCAAGTTTTATGTATCTACTTATTTGTATTGTTAGATCAGTTACGTGAATTTTTCCTCGGTAGTGCAACAACTCAGTATTTGCAACAGCCTTGGTTTTCATTAAGTTGCAATGATCGAAAAGGTACTGTACCTATATATACTAAATGAAAATCTCAATTCAAATTAAAAATTTAACGTTAAATTAACGGGTCCATGGAGAATTATACAAAGCAAATTAATCTGATATCAATATATAAATTAAATTAGAATAATTGTTCTGTTTTGTTGATTATCGGTTATCTAGTCGCAGTTAAAAAATAGTGAATTGTCGCAATCAAATAACCAGAGCTACTTTAAAGCTTATCTACTAACCATTGATATAATCGAAGCCGAACCCTCAGTCATAAAATAAGCTAGACTTTATAAAATTATGTACAATATATAAAAATTTTATATAGTATATTATTAACCAGTTAAATTGAAATACCTTAATTTGTGATTGTTAAAATCATATAGTTGTTTAAATAATTCTTAATGTCACGTAATGCTTTGCATTATTGTCATATATGTACATATATATGAGATGATCTTAGTTTTAAAATAATTTCTATGAAGACAGGAGTTTTTAAATTATTTAAATATAATCTGTGTATAAGTATACTGAAACTTATAAAAGCATGATAGGTCACATTTGATACTATCAAAAATTATTAAGACAATATACCATAAACCAGTCTTCAATAACAAAAATAAAAATTTTTATAAACTAGAAATATTATTTACAGATACACAAAAAAAAAAATACACAAAAAAAAAGACGAAAACAATTACAATTAAAAATTATGGTATAAAAAACTCAGATGGCACTAAATACGTCAATATTTCGACATTACTACAGAAGGACAATAGATAATTAAAAAAGTTTTTGTTTTGATATGTGAGTGTTTGGCTGAATTTTTCGCATTCCTGTTACATTTAATAACAACGAATAAAAACTAAAAATGAAGAAAACAGTACAAATAAAAAAGAACAGTGTTGCCAGTCTAAATTTATTTTTTCAGCTACTCAAAGGTGGAAAAAAATTCACTAACGTACCAAGTTGTGGTATTTCTGGTTACAAAAATAGAAATCTAATTTAATACAAACAATACTTTTTCCTATTTGACAACAAAAACAATGGAAACAAGTGACGTTGCAATGACGTTGCATGCAATACACGCTATTGAGATACGAAATAAGGATATATAGTTCAAATGTTGATAGTATGTGCGTTTGTTACTCCTCAGTATAGTTGCCACTTCCTTTGCAGGAGAAGCCTTCATCACAATACCGTGTACATCGTTCGTACTGAAAATTGTTTCGTTCATTCCTTCCAAAGCGTCTGCGCGGTGAATGATTCTTTGTTATTTTTATAGGGGAAATAATTCGTTATAGCAATTTCCTTCATTATTATTTCAATACTTGAAAAATTTTTTACAGTGTACATCCCTTCTTATTACAGAGACTAAATAAAAATAATTATAAATAAGTGACATGGAATGTATAAAATTAGTTTGTGTAAATGTTAGTTAATATTCTTTTTTAATTTAAATAAAATATTTATAGATATATTTAAATGAAGGGAACTTTAATTCAAAACCAAAAATTCTATAACAAAGTTCAGAAACATTATTTACATTTCCGTACACACTTTGTTTGTAATTAATTAATGAAATTTGTATTCATTTGAACTAACAAAAAATTGAATTGACATAATACCTATTTATATATACACACATATATATATAATAATATTTATATATATTAATAAATAAACAATAAATAAAATGAAAATATTTTAAGTTTATTTAAGTTGAAATAAAAATGTCCAATAGCATTTAATATAAAAAGCATAGCGCAGTTTTAGGAGCTATCATATTAAGCTTTGGTGAAGACTAAGAGTGTAAAATTGCTTATTTATTTTTTTTATATTTTGGTTGGTTGCAGTGGCAGGCTATTAGATAACTTCCATGCACCTTAGCTCAATTAGCTATTCTTTGCCGTTTTGCTATCACATTCCTCGCAAGAACC